CCCAGAATTCCCCAGCCAGCATGGCTGGCTGGGGAATTCTGGGAATTGAAGTCCACTCATCTGAAAGTGGCCAAGTTTGGACAACACTGGGTTAAGATGATTCCTGATGACTTCATGGACACACCTGTGTCATTTTATTGGCAGCCATGGAAGAGCTTTGCTGTTGCCTTCTGAGAGGTTTTTTTTTTTTAAAAAAAAAACAACAACTTTCCAGCCTAGTCTACAGCTCTGAGATTTGCTGATAGTCTTCCGTCCCAACAGAAGTCAGGTTTGATCTTGCTTAGCATTTTCAAGGTCAACCAAGTTTTAAGCCTCTGCCTCTTTGAAGTATCTCAAAAGAGACTTCATTAAAAAGGTGCACACTTAACTCTGTCAAAATTAATTTTTGTTAAGTGTAAAAAATACATCATATTCAGCTGCTTTGATTTGGAAGCGTTGTGGTTTCCTTGTCTGCCTGTGTATGATACCTTTTCTTTCTACTTCAGTATGTGCACGTGTGTGGTGTGTACATACCTGGATATGATGACAATAGATCTTGCCCCTTGATATTGACTTGATACGTACTCTGAAGAATAGACATACAGAGCAGAAGCCATAGCTATTCAGTCTTTTTACTTGACATTTTCTCAGTCTGACCCAAAAAGGTCTACTGGCCCTTGGTTCTACATTTTCTTGCCATCTAAGCCTGTTTTGCTGCTTATGTCCAAAGCATATGGCTCTTGCAAGCATATTTACTAGCCAAAGTGGGGATGGGAATGGGGACGAAAGGGAGAGAGGAAGGGTGGTGAGAATGGCATGTTTGATGAAATGATAACTGTGAGAGCCTGAGTCCACAGTACTTCTAAATAGAGAAAAGGCCAAAAAGATTTCTGGAGGGATAAGCTGTCCAAATGTCCATTTTTCTCATCTATTGGTTTAAACTAAGTGCCAGAATCACTGTTCCCAACCCAGGAGTGGACATCTTTGTGATAGGTCATACTTAATACTTAATAGTTTGGAGGGAGAAAAGAATTGACTATGTGACTATGCTAAGCAGACAAGGCCCTGTTTCAGGCAGTGTTGGGCTTCAGGGTTTATGATCATGGTCCAGACAACAGATTTCCTGACATTTTGCCAGCAACTGTGGCTGGCATCTTCAGAGGCAAGGTG